CAGCAGTCAAGTATGCAGCACAGACGGGTGTTCATAGATTCCAGGAAGTTTGTAATGTATGAAAAACCATGGTGCAAAAAGTCCCGATTTATTTTTATACAGCTCTCAAAAGTGATTGACAGCTGTTGAAAAAATGGAAGAGTGCTTAGTAAATGTTATTTAAGTGTTGATATTTTAAAAATACCTCAGATAACACTGTGAGACTTAATCAAGCAGGTGACTAGAAAGAAAATCAGTTTCTTCTCCAAAGGTCTATGCCACACATGTATATACAATATCATTTTCTGTATGACGAGGGAATCAACAGTCACATTTTAGTAACTGCAGTATCCAGTACTGCTTACTCCTTATATTTACATGTTTTATTCTGAATGAAAGCATTAGTATATAATCTCATAGTGGATGTCATATGTGACAGCATTCAGTGCAAATGAAGTTTACCTCAGCTTGCTGCAGACTGCCATTTAATTTCTATATCAATTATTTAATGCCATGCTCCACCAAGCACCTTTGCAGTTACCACTCTTTCTGCTATCATCTTAAACAGGCTACCAAGAAAATGAGTTTCTTAGTAGTAGGTTTTTCTGTCTGATGTATCACTATGAGACCTTTCTTTCAGTACAGTAGAGTACATATCCATTGTACATGTGTTAAGACAAACAGAAATACGAGTCAATTATCTTTCAGCAGATCAACTTAGGATTTAGATCTAACTGCTTGCATGATGCATGTGCAGGGAGGGGTGGAAATTACTAATAAATTCTACCAGGAGAGTTTAAACTCAATTAAAATCTCTAAGCAGCACAGAAAACTTATTCACAAATACTAGGTTTTAGTCCCCAGTGTTATAAAACAGGCATGAGCAGAAAAGATAGGATCCAATGCCCTAGAAAGGTTCTCACAGCAGACACTGCAAGGCACCATGGTTTCCCAGGACCTTCTTGCCCAACAAAAGATAAGTCACTTTTGCTGTATTCAGCTATATCCTTCCTCCTGCTATTTCCTCCCTGGTCTCATTATATGATTGATATCCTTCCAAACTGAGTTCTTCCTTCCTCCTCCTCCCCCACCATGAAATTTCTAGCAACAGCAATATGTTAACAGGTCCAAGAAGGGGTTGCACACAGATATTTTAAGCTTTTAAGAATTAAAAAACTAGTAACAAAAGTTACCAATGCTCATTCCTCCCGCCCCACCCCCCCAAAAAAAAAAATCCTTCAAATTACTTCTCCACATCTTGCAGAAAAGTCAAAAGCGAGGGAAATGGAGAGCGTTAACCAGCTGGCTGCTGACACCAAACCACACTGCAGCACTGCTAAGAGTGATTTCCTTGAAATGAGGCATGCAAAGGCAAGTCCTGGGGTAAATTTTTCTTTTAAGAACAGGCACATCAACATTTTTTCGTTGATGCCAATTAATGATGAAATGAATTAATGATTCAGTTATTTCAGTCTGTTTCTAGATACATTCAGAAAAAAATAAGTAAAAATGGGTCTTTTATTCAGACAAATTACTCTGATCGCAGTTTTCTTGATCTACCTCTAACATTAGTCTCAATGCCATCCAAGTTCATCACGGGACTCCAAAATCCTGTGTGCTTTTACTACAAAGCGCAGATAAAGAAAGGACTTAGGCACCCAGCCTTTGGTGTGAAGCTGTTTCAGTGTTATGCACTCAGGTTGAAAACATACCAGAAGAGGCAGAGTTAAACATCTGGGAGAGGTTATCCAAAACAATCAGTAAACTGAGATTTCTAGGAAGCCAATGACAAACACTGAGGACAAGGGTATCCCGCCCTAGGTCAATACAGAAAACAGAAATATTTGACTAGGTCATGTTGGCCTTCTGTGCGGGAATGGACCAGTTAGAGTACACACTAAAGTGTGCCTGGATGGGGCGTCTTCTCCTCCACCTGAAAAGCCCGAATATCAGGCAGACAGAAAAAACAATTAAATAAAACATGGAAGCAGGGGAGCAAGCAGAGGGGGAAAAAAATCCAGTTCTGCAATGTGATGACTACAGGATTTAACTGAGAGGGAAGGACGGCAGAGTATTGGATTCTGCTTCCTCTATTCACGATCACTTCTTAATTGTGATTTTAATCATTATAAAACAGTCCTGAGAATAGAGACTAAAACTCAGAACTTCCTCATCCCAGCTAAATGAATACAAGGAGATGTGGCTGAAGTCCCAGAACCAAGTACATATTATCTGGACTAAAGAGTCCACCTAGTATACTTAACTTTTCAATACACTTAGAGGCTGCTATGCCTATTTTCTGGATCTCATAGTAGCTTATAGCACTCCCCATCACATCTGTAGGCTCCTCAAGCACTTTCATTTGCGGACACATAGGAGAACTTTGGTATTCTGAACTGAAAGGTTTGAGTTAGGCATCTAAAATCCATTTAAGTTCTTTGAATCTAGTCCCAAGCAGATTTTCTTCTTTTTCTTGACAGTACAAAACAATCCTGGAATAACACTACATGCTATTTTGCATCAAGCTGCTGGGAGAAAGCTGTCAAAACAATGGAACTGCAGGATCTTTATTGTAGGGGTGGAAGGAAGGAAAAATGGATGGTCTTAAAGATTTTTCTGGTTTTAGCATCTACAATATGGTTCCTTCCACTCTTGATATTCCTCTTGTAACATTTTTTATCCATTACATGAAGAACAGATCTATAGCAAGTGCTGAAGTCACTGTAGAGCCTGTTACGGCCATGATCATTAGGAACAGACAGAATGAGGCGGAATGGTTTTAAACGGGAAGAGAGTAGATTTAGACTACATATTAGGAAGAAATTCTTGACTGTGAGGGTGGTGAGACACTGGCACAGGTTGCCCAGAGAAGCTGTGGATGCCCCTTCCCTGGAGGTGTTCAAGGCCAGGTTGGATGGGGCTTTGAGCAACCTGGTCTGGTGGGAGGTGTCCCTGCCCATGGCAGAGAGGTAGAACTAGATGATCTTTAAGGTCCCTCCCAACCCAAACCATTCTTTGATTCTATGATATTTCCAAGTTGTTTCTTATGCAGTTACATTCTTGTCCTACAAGCCAAAGACCCCATTATACCTTTTCACCCCAGGTGCATAAGCAGAGTCTTTTCCATAGAGCTGACAACCAAGTTAACAGGAAGGGCCCACTGAATGCAATTGGAGCCAGGCCATGCTCATTTTCTGATGCCAGCCCTCTGTTACAAACAGAAGGTGGTATTACTCATGTATTGTTTTGTGCAAGCTCCTAGTAACAGCTACACACTTTGTTCTTCTTCCCACTCACCCGTGGTCTAGATGCCTATTTTTAAATTAAGTTCTCCATCAAGCTCCAAAATGCATTGTAAGTGGCTACTGAATCAACTTCCTCTCCCATTGAAACAGCACTGAACTGCACCCTCTGCAGACAGGGAAAGGCCTTGCATCACTTTGTTTCTCTGATGATCCCACGGTAATTCTGTGAGGGAGATGATAGACCTTAGAGTATAGTAGGATGGAAATGGTGGAAGAGCAGTTTATCAGATTTGCTTCATCATCCAACAGTGCTTTTGGAAAGACAGAACAGTGCAGTCAGCACTCTCAAGTGTGACACAGAGCTGATACAATTATCATTGCTATTGTTTCATATATACAAACTGGTCTGCCCGACTAAAAGCCAAACCAATTTGCAGTGTATTGTTAAAGTATCAATAAAGTCAGTCCAAGTTTATCATACAAGTATACTTTTCTTGAACACTATCACAATAAGCTGGTTTTTAAAGTAGCATGAAAGTCATAAAAGCATGAAAAAATGTGAAACGACAGACTTCATCATGTATCCCAGATAATGCCAGCCTGATGTAGAAGTTTCTTCTGAATCATAATACTGTTACCAAGCTCAAACTCCAAATAGAGAGTAAACTGTTATTGTGCAGCATGCAATGTATACAACTGTGAAGTAATTTTAACCTATCGCCTCAGTCAGTGTATATTGAATAGCCAGATTGGAGGCTAGGGCGTAACTTTGAGTTGAAAGTCCCTAAAATTCTGCCACATTAAAAATCTGGATTACATTACAGAAGAACACTTACCACTTTTGGCCTTAAAAGCTATTGGCGTTCAGCCCAATTAAAGCAAATACAAGCTGATTCAACTAAGGATTGTATCCTGGAAGAGCCACAAGTCCTCAGTTCTTGCTCAAGTTCAGCAGAACATAAGGCAGATGTGATCAGCTCCACATCTTGCAGTACATAGGCATAAAAACACATCACCCTCATTCTCTCAAACTACAGCTGCCAAAAGTTGTATTAAAAGTTCTCATTTGTTATAATAATATTTATGGTCTGCCCTGGAGCCCAGTTTGGTCACACTGAGAGCAAATAAAAAACAGCCTCCAAAATTGCAGTACAAAAATTAAAGCTGATCTGAATTTGTAACAAGAATCTCTATGCCAATTATGTCTGAGAAATATTTGAACTCCATAATATCTCATAACTTCTAGTCTTTAAATTCTATTTTGAAAGTAAAGCCTAGCAAAGCAAGATGCTAATTTCCTTCTGAATACTTAATTACACATAGCATTACATACATAACTTACAGAAACTAATGCATTCCTCATATAATGCAGAAGGAGACTGAAGTTTCAGTCTCTACAAACGGCTTAACCAAATATGAGGCAACACTGCATACAGCAAAACTGTAAAATAAAAGCTTCCCCAATGTGCTCTCAGCAGTTCTGAGCAAAAACTAGTTCTCCAGTTCAACCATCTAAGCATTTACCATCTGCTCTTAAAACTGCTTTCTGCAAAATTTTCAGGTCTCTCCTGTTTATTAACCATTCTTCAGTATTTTTTAAATACTCTTCCAGCTCTCTCCTACTTTTTTGGTTACATATTTGATTTCTTAATGCTTCTAAAAGCCCCTTTCACAATAGTCATTCAGAAGGATAAACAGCACAGTACAAACACTGTGAAGTCAAATAAATCTTACAGGACAAAGGGAACAGAGAACTCAGCCAGACTGAGATAAACTGTTGTGAGTTTACTCAGTTTAACTTGCTTCAACTTGCTTTTCTGCTCTGGCAAATCCTTTCAGTCAACATTCACCTCATCTCTTCCCTCTTCAATTCTTTACCCTTGAATTTTCTGTGTGAGTTAAAAGTATTTTACCTCAGATACAGTATTTTACTCTTAGTTTTAGTCTGCTCTGTACCTAAAGGAGAAAAGAGGACAGAACGACAAGCTACAAATGTGCACTAACCTGGTGACCGAGCATGACCGACACATCGTTTTTCTGCTGACAGCTTCACCGAATAATTGTTTCCTTTGCGATGACAAAGCCATTAATAACTTCTGACCCCTCTCAGGCATGACAGGAACATCTCTGCATTTCTCCCCGTTTCGTGCACTATGAGGTTGAAAGTGACTGCAATAGCTGCTGTTCGCTCAACACACAAAAGGAAAAGCAACCCTGCCCCAACTGCTTGTGCATCTGCACTGCGCTGCGGCCAAAGAGACGCCGAGGCAATGACTTGTTTCCTTTGTTACTTCCTGTTTCCCCCAGTGTTAGTGGGCAGCGCTATCTTTGTCAGATTTCCCAACTTCCCAGAAAGGTTATAAATCAAACCCCGCATACCTCAAACCTCTGGCAGATGGCGAGCCAGAAAGCAAAGGGGATTTTCCAGGGCTCGCTTGCTTCCTGCTCACCTTTCCATCAACTGCTTTCCCTTGGGAGAAGAAAGTAGTCCTTTTTCTTACAGTGTACTCAGGCTCTCACACCAGCAGAGGCACGGCTTAGAAATTCTGCCTGTGCTTCTGGAAAGCCTGTGCTTCAGGTACTGGCACTGCACCAGAGAACTGTGGTAAGCATTTAATATCTCTTTTCTCTCCTGTAGTTGGAGTTTTCCTTCCCTTTCTTCAACCCAAGAAATTAAAAATAGCCATTTTGAAAGACTGTGCAGCATATACGTGCTTTAGACCAAGTCTTGCCTGTACGTTTGACCTTACAGAAACCACAAAAGGCAGTAAAATTTGAATCCAAGAGGCTCACAATGCAAGAGCAACAATTCAATATAGGACAAGTATCACCAACTGATGATAAATAAATGCCGTTGTTTTACACTTATTTTCATCTGGAGCTCCTAAAAGGATTCAAGTGTTTCACTGACTTTGTCTGGAAATAACCAACACCCTAGACTAGAAGGTTCAAATAAGATAAAAACAACTGGCAAGTTTCAGAAGAATGGACAAAACCTACATAGATGAATATGCCAAGTAAAGTTTACTCCACATACTTTTGGTGAAATGGACATGAATCTGTATTCCAAAACAGAAGGAAGAAGTTTCTACATAAAATCTTTTCTTTCTGTAAACTACCCAACAATCAAGGTGCAGAAGAAAATAACATTTGAGATACTGGCCATGGCTGTATGGACTAGAAAAGTAATCCTCAGTCTTCACCATAGGGCATCCATTTGCGCTCCTTCCATAGCCAGGCTACAGAGGAAGGCGAAGAAAACCATAAATATCACACACCTGTTGTTAGCTAAAGGATCAGCATATCAACACAAAGTCCTTATAAGAATCATTACCCAGTTGTCTCAGTGGCTTAATTAACACATTTTTCACGCAGAAAAGATGTAAAGAGGACTACATCTCAGCACCCTGTGAATTAAATTCACTTACTTTATCTGCTACAGTATCAGTTACCAATTTAGACCTGAGGCATTAACACGCTTTAAAGCAATCTTTCCTCGCCCCGTTCTCTGCTATCTAAGCATAATCTTCTAGGTTTGCGTTACCATCTTTGCAAACTTTATCTCTACCTCAGTAAAAAAGCTACAATCAAAATGACAGCATTTGAGTATATGTAACACTGGAAAAAAATCAGTTCCTC